GAACTTATCTGGATCTAGATGGTTCGTTTCCTTCATTGATGATCATACTCGTGTCACTTGGATCTTCCTTATGAAAGAAAAATCCGAGGTTAGACACATCTTCCAAGCATTCCACAAAATGATAAAAACTCAATTTCACACAAAGACTCAGGTGTTAAAAACAGATAATGGAACTGAGTTCTTCGAGTCAAACCTAAGGAAATATCTTACTGAAAACGGGATTCTTCGTATTAGCTCATGTGTTGACACCCCGTAATAAAACGGAGTCGCTGAGAGGAAAAACAGACACCTCTAAAAAAGTGGCTCACTCTCTCCTTACCTCTCACGTTCCTCACCTTTCTGGGGAGATGCAATACTATCAGCAGCCTATCTAATAAACTGCATGCCATCTAGAGTTCTTAACCTCGAAACATCTCTTCAAACCCTTAGTCCTTCTAGGTTCCTAGTCAATGTTTCTCTTAGAGTATTCAGATGCACAACCTATGTGCACATTCCTCCACAAAATCGTAGCAAGCTCGAACCCAAATCAATTAAATGTGTTCCTTTAGGTTACTCAAATAACCAAAAAGGATACAAATGTTATTCTCCATCCACAAAAAAGGTATACAACACCATGGATGTCACCTTCTTTGAACAGGAGAAAAGTATCTCTCTATTGAATTGTATCTCAACCCAGAACCAGAAACGGGTTTAAATACACAGCAGCTACCTATAAACTAGGGAAAAACTGTATTTAAAATTAAGATAAGCACACATTAAGCTGATCCAATGCTTATTGGATCTCCACAAGAAGTCTCAGCCATGACTGCAGTAGTTCTTTCGTTCTTGCCTCTTTTTGTTTTGAGGTGGTTTTTATGGAGCTTCCAACACTTATCCTTTGTATGCCATGGCTTGCCACAAAAATCACAAGAATTTTTTTCCTTGTCACTTCGATCACCAAAGCCTTTCTACGCCAACGCCATGTTGTCACTATTTTCTGTCAAGTGAACAAGTTCATTCATAACCCATTTCCGGGCCTCTTCTTTGCGTAATTCAGAAAACGCTGCTCGAATGGAAGGTAAAGGCTGACGGCCTAGGATTCGGCCCTTGATTTCATCAAAGCTATTATTAACTCCAACAAGGAAGATGAAGACATGATCATCTTCCTCTCTTTTTTTCCCTTGCAATATCTTTTCTCCTACGAGTCATCATAGTATAAGTCTAACTCCTGCTAAAGAGAAAGCACTTCATCGTAGTAAGTGATGACATCTTTTTCACCTTGTTTAGAGAACCACAAATGCTTCTTCCACTCAAATATTTGGGAAGAATTTTCGAGATTAGAATAAGTTTTTTTTACGGCATCCCAATTTTTTTTGGCATCCATGTACATGAATGGATTTGTTCAGTCATGGAATTTAGTAACCATGCCTTAATCAAAGAACTGGTGGAGCACCAGTTTTGGAACTTGGGATCGGTGGATGTAGGCTTTGGCTCTTCGCAGGTCAAAAACCAATCTTTCCTCTTCTATCTTGGGCTAGTTTAATAGACTGAGCCCATTCCAAATAATTCTGACCATTTAGTTTCGCTACTATAATCTGCAAGGCATGTAGTGAAGCAACATCTACACTGGATTGAACAGAGGAGTCGACGGTTTTGTTGGATGACTTGGAAGTCTCTACCATGATGAATGATAAGCAGATCGGAATCGGTTATTAGAATACAACGAAAACGATCCACTCGCACCTGCCTACAACTATGTTGCTTGTTATAATTGAGACCAAAAGAGAACAATAAAGAAGACTGTGACTGAACATGGATAAGGACAATAGCTCAATAACTACTACCCAAGCCCAATAACTCAACAAGGTGTGGTGATAGCCAGAAAAATGTCGATCAACACTGAAGAAGAGTCGACAGTAACACGAGGAGAAATTGTCGATCAATAGTAGCATATCAACATTAACAGCAATCCACAGAATCAAGAGAAGAAGCGTCAATGGAATTAGTTGCATAAACCAGCAGGTAACGTTGGTCCTCTTGACAACAATCGAACTAGAAACCCTAGACGTCGTTCGGCTCTGATACCATGTAATTTTGGAGAAATCAATTATTATTCTCTATCTTGTATTAAACCCTTCTACAAGGTACCACATAAATACACAACTAGTTCCTTCTTGATAGGAAATGTATCCTTACAACTAGGAAAGAAAATAAAATCTAGCTAATTTATAGCTAAATTATTCTAGTTTACATAATTATCGATAATTTAGTTTATCATCTAAAACAACATAATGCAAGAAATAGTGCATTAATTGTAGAGGATTTGGTGCAAAAAATAGGTATGCCAAATAAAAATAACAACATAAGCATATGTAAAACAAATTACTGTTCAGTCTACACGATTGATATTTATCAATATAATATCATTGTTTTTGCCATTTTCAAAAATTATTTTGTTTTATTTTATTTGTGCTCCCCCTCATACCAATTTTGTATGACTCGAGTAGATATGCTTGATAACTAGCCTATGAAATCTTTCCCAATATGTTATTAACCCTTTTTTCATTTTGGTTTTGCTTGCACCATTTATTGGAGTATCTATAGTATTACATCCTACATCGTGGTCGAATGTGTACTTTGGTTGTTACATTGAGATTCCATGCTTCCAGTAAGTCACTTCCATACGGAGGAAGTATCTTAATTTTCCCAATCCTTTTACTTCAAATTCTTGTGCAAGGAGCTTTTGTAGTTCGTAGATCTCTTATGCACTGTTTGTCGAGGTAATGTTGTCAAAGTAAACTATCATTATGGATGCTTACCTTCACTTAGCTTTTAGTAAACATTTTGTGACCGGTTTAACACTTGAGGAACACTTTTTTTTTGAAAGAGAGAGATTCATTCATTAATGTCAACAAACAAGTAAGGAACACAAATTTGGGGTAAAACTAGTTCCTCAACATTACTACCGGAGAAGAAACACGATCCTCTAGCGATGTTGTGAGCTATAATGTTCTACTCAACACAGCCCTTCCGGACCATATTCGAAGATATTTTATTCCATAGAGAGACTTTACGAGTCTCGACAACTTCAAAAGCTCTCTTCCTCTATTCTTTGAGACACTTCCATGTATACCTCCTCCTATAGGTTCCCATTTTAAAAAAAATTATTTGTTTTAGTATTGAGTTTTTATAGTCTCTGAGTGAAGGTCTTCTCTGAACTTGTCCATATGACTAAGTAAATCCTTTTGCTATAAGTCTTGCCTGGAATCTGCTAATGCTTTGTACATTGTGTCTGACTGAGAACACCTATTTACAACCCACAACCTTCTTATCCGCCAATAGTACTTCATGCTCTCATGTATCATTTTCTTTAAGGACCTGAATGTCTTCTATTATTGACTTTTTTTTTTAATTTTTTGCTTGGATAGAGCACTCTTGGAAATTGGATGGAGTGTGCAGATTCTCTGGCCCATCATATTGCTATAAGCAAATCCAAGTCATTACCATCATTTAAAGACTCCAAAGTACTAAGAACGTTCCTAAAGAAGTGATAATTTTTGGTGTTTGACTTGGTTCGGCCTCTTGCCATAGTGATCCTTGGCCTTTCTGGAGTAGAGGAGTTATTTAGGGGCCGTTTACCAAACGCTTACCTGCAACCCTGTCACTTACTTAACGGGTACGATTTTAGTCTACCAAAACGGTACTGTATGCAACAATTTACCCTGTAAGCGCTAACCCAGTCATCGCCCTCATTTACCGGGTAAGACTCTCGGTCCTTGCCTTCGCTCTTACCGGGTAAGATTCTTGGTCCTTGCCATACTCATCCGGTAAGGTAATGTGACTTGGTAAGCGCTTACCCAGGTAAGCGTTTGGTAAACGGCCCTTAGTGTTGTTTTCTGGTGGTTTAACCGAGTTGGATAAAAGAGGTTTTCGATAATGCTTCCCCAAACAAGAATACCCAGGAACATTGGTTTAGAACACAAGGGGTACCTATACACGAGCATGCATATATGATGTCTTGGTCTTGTAGGTATCTCCCTAGGTTTGTTTGGAAGTAGCCTCATGTGTATCTTTTTTGAGGACTTGGATAGTTTGGAATTGGTTTTGAATCATCTTTCTGAAATTTTTTAGGTTTTGATTAACTTCTGGTTTATCTTTCATGAAATAAGTGGTTCAAGTATGATCCTCAACAAAGGAACCAACCATGTAAAACCTTAGACAGTGCTAATCCAAGATGGCCCACAAGCATCATTGTGGGGATGAAACCCTTTATAAGAAGACTGGGTGTATGGCAGTCTCTCTATTTTTGAATATTAGCATACTTCACATTGAAAAACATTATGACCTTTATTGAATGACCAGAAATTTGGATGACCAGCACAAAAGCATGAAAACATTTTAGAACCAACACACGAGGAAGGGAAACATATTATGTAGGGATGATCGGAGAAAATGGTCCTCACAAGCACCTGCTCTTACGACCATGAAGAGTTATTTATCGAGTGTTCTAAATTATTCTGCCCGTAGGCTACATTATATATAGATGACGAGTATCTAATTAATCTATTTTATTAGGAAATACAAATCAAGGAAAAACTTAGGAGATGATCCTTAGGCTGATTTTTGGGAAACTAATCCCACCAAACTAGTAGCAGATAATTACAACCAAAACTCCATGTACAAGGAGGCGAATCCAACTTTAATAGGCAAATTACTTTATTACAAGAATATTCTACAACTTCTATTAAATTGTGTAGTTGCTGTTAGACCAGACCCATGCAAGTTCAATACTTATGGTTTAATAGTAAGGAAAAGATTATCCACTATATACAGGGGATTAACCAAATCAGCAGACTAGATAGAATTTCTGTTGACATTATTATTAGTTTTCTACGGTTTGAGAGGCCGGCCTCTCAAAAGTCAACCAACCGTTTCATTTCGTTTTATTATCAATTTAATTCAGTAAAAAGTAACAGATCCTACACTGCTTATGACTGGCTGACTAACTGTTTCCGCGGCAGGTGTATTGTTCACTGTGCAACGAGATGATGGCACCAGAAAACTTAGCACTGCACAAAGGTGAAAAGTGCCCTCAACGTATCGCAACATGTGATTACTGCGAGTTTCCTTTGCCTGCGATAGACCTTTCTGAGCATCAGGTAAACGGATCTTCTAACAGAAAAACTATTTGTATGGTTTGTATACTATTGACTAAAATTTTCTTTTGTTCACTAGACTACTAGATTTATTTCTGTAGACACTGTCTCATATTTAGAAGCTGACATTTCCCCACATACTTCTTTTATCATCGAGGTTTGAAAAGGCCAAATACATTTCCCCACATACCTTTTTGGCCAGAAGCTGGCATTTCCTACTTGTTTTTTATTATCTGAGTGTTAGAAATTGTCATGACATGAGACCAAATATATAATCTTTCTAGTAAGAAACAATCAAAGCTTATTTTGCTCAATAATACAATAGTTGAACAATTTTTTTCCTGAGACCTGTTTAGCATCTGAAATATGCTGTGAACTCAAAATTTCAGGAAGTTTGTGGAAATAGAACAGAGCTCTGTCATCTGTGTAACAGATACATCCGACTCCGAGAAAGAATTGCCCATGAAGTGTCATGCAATGGTGTTCCGAATACTACACCTGAAACTTCCAGGTTTGAGGAACACTATTTTCCTTCTATATTAGATATTCACTGTCTCATGAAATTTCAACATTTCCATTTCTACTAAAGGCTTCCAACTTCAAAATGCTTATTGGTCCATTGCAATCATTAAAAAATAAATTGATGGTTTTGATTTGGGTTCATAAGATTGAACAATATTTTGGATATTGACGAATGGTTGATTTCAAACAATATACCAAATCAAATGTTGCAATCTTTCATGGTCCTAAAGGAGCATCAGTTTGGTGTTTCTGTGGTATTCACTTTTAATTTGAGGAAAGAGCTAATTGACGATGATTAAACACCCAAATGGTACTCTTAAGAAACGCACTTTGGGTGGTCTCCACTTCAAAAATGCACATCTTAATTCAGTATTTGGGTAACTATATAGTAAATTTTGTATGGTTACTTGATAATTGTAAAACCTCTTGTAATTTATACCTTAATCTCATGGAAAAATGGCATATGCACCACCTTCCATGGCCAATTTGCCTTGGTATCCACGAGTGCTTCGATGCCTCTATATGCCTGATTGCTGTGATTCTTTTGGTAATTTTCCCCTATTTTTGTCAAGATAGAGGGAGTATAATAAGACTTCAAATTTTTCATAAATCACATAACATCATGTTTGAAGTGTTGGCTAATTAATTACTCATACATCATGTCGTTTACTTATGGGGACATTGGTGTTATGTTTGTTATAGTATTACTCCGTGTACCAAAAAATTTGTATCATTTTTCTTTCTGGGATGTTCGACTTCAGTTGTAATGTATCCCTTTTTAGTTTTTATCAATTTAGCAAGCTAAAATGACCTTTGGCCCTAGTAACTGCTGTAGTGAATTCATTGATCCTGACCCATAAAGTCTCTTATTTTGCCTTTAATTAAGAAGATTTTATATGTATAACTAGTAGTCAAAGCTCTTTTGATTGTGTTTAGTCAAAACTTTGCAACTAGGGACTGTCCAAATTGCAAAACCAATTCAGTGGAGTCTTGTTTGCCAAGTCTGAGGGTTTTAGTTTAAATTAAAACCAAATGTATTCAGCGTATCCCGTTCCAAGTAGGATCTGGAAGGGAATAATGTATGCACACCTTTCCAGCGTATCCCGTTCCAAGTAGATCTTCAACTACTGATGGCCAAATTATGCCTTGGTCCCAAAATAAATGTCATACAATGAAAAAGGCACACATTTTTTTTCAATTTACTAAATGACAATTATACCCTTAAGAATAAATGGAGTAATTAAGAGCTTCTTTTTGAATGTAAACACTCACATTTGGAAGTAGACACTTATTTTGTGACAAAATTAAAAAAAATGTGGAAACTTATTTGGGACGGAGTAAATTGGTATATCAGAAAATGGTGGTTGGTATTAGTAGGTGATCTTGCCTACCAACTATAGTTGGTATGGTACTTGGTTTAGAAAAAAAATTTGGTATCGTATCAAGTTCACCCCTGGATCTAATTGTATACACAACTCTTTCATAATTCTGTCGATATATTTTCCGAGTTTAATTTGCTAACCTCAATGATATCTTATGAAGGGCAACAAGGGAAGCTGAACGAGAGCATGCTCCTAGAAGAAGGCCACCGCCCCGCGACTTCTCTACACGAAGACTTGTATTCACCATAGCAATAACTGGCATCGCAGTTCTGTTGGGGTCGTTACTTTTCCAAAGCAAACCAGACCAGGCTCAGCTTCATTAAAAAAAACATGGTTTGGTTTTGCATTTGTGCCGATATCACAACTTATGTTTTATGTGTTTGTTGTAACTTGTAGGTGACATATGTTGCCATCCTCTTCTGTTTCGTATATATGAAGGTATATCCTTTTTCCCCGAGTCATATTCAAAGGAATAATGTTGTAATAATACCTGAAATACTTTTTGTAAAGTTTCATGTGATATCTATTGTAACTCTATGTTGTTGTATATATCGCATTCCTCTTGCATGATATCGCCCTCTTTACCGTATCAAGTTATCGAAACTTTGTGTAGATGTTGCAAGGGAAAATTGGATGGTATTTTGTTTCGGTTTTACTTTAAGAAACCCACTTTCAAAAGCTATATTTCAAGGAACGTATTGTATTTTTTATGCAATCAAGGGAACGTCTATGATGCAATTAACTAAATACGCTATAATGTCGGAAAAAGAAAAGTGAATGTATTGTTAATTTGTAAATAAATAAAAGAAATCCTTCTTTTAGAAACATTTGTAAATGTGTTGTTGGCTTTTAAACGTAATCTTTCAATTTGTTCATGATGTAAAACAACTCGAAGTTTATATAAAGCAAAGATTGTAAAATACAGAGACGGAGTCAAATAACAATCACAATCATTCAAAGGGTTTTATTTTTGGTTTGGGGAAATTTTGAAATGTTAACAACCAACTCTCTTATGGATTTATTAATAATGAATGGGCCTTACTAATATTTATAAAGATTATGTATTTTCATTATTTATGATTCACATGAATATTATATTCATCATGAATAATTAATCTATAGTCGGTTATTAGGTTTTTAAAATATATGTTGTTTACATTTAAACATGCTTATATATATATATATATATATATATATATATATACATATATGCGTGTGCATAATATATATATATACACACACAAGAAGGTTTAAAACGAGAACTATTTAAGAAAACAAGAAAAATGTCGTTAATGTACAAAATCATATGTGATTTTATGTTAAATGGAAGCGGAAGACCTTTTACGCAACTTAAGTCGCAAGGGCAAAGTCGCTCGAATCATGTATGATTTGTTACGTGAATCATATATGATTTTGTACATTAACGACCTTTTTCTTATTTTCTTAAATAGTTGACGTTCTCGTTTGTACCTGCCTCTAGGGCTGTGCACGGGTCGGATCGGATCACAAAAGGGCTAATCCGAGGGTATCGGGTTACAATACCACAGCCCATAATATGCAGTTCGGGTTCGGGGGCATATCGGGTTTGGACCACTTCGGGTTTGGTTCGGGGCGGGTATTTTGTCCTAGCCTCCCGGGTGAGATTCCTTCCTCAATTGCCCATCTTTGTATCCCAGATCAAATTCAAAACCCAAAACACATGAATAGAATCTACGAATGCTTACATAGAGAATCCATGAATGCTTATATAGAGAATAGGGTAAAAGTAAAACATATTGAAGTATGAAACCAAAATCATATGGATTGGCTGTTGAATAATATACACATGAAAATTGAAATGTTAATTGCACAATTGCTGTATTGCAGCTTGCAGATGCCAAGAGGCCCAAGACAGTTATTTCAAATGTTAATCCAAATCTAAGCTACAAAACAGAAGTGCTGAATGAAAGCATAACAGACTTAACATAATTCATAACTGAAAGTCTGAAAATAACAAATTGCAGGGGCTTCATAACTGACAGCTTCATTCATAACTGATAGCTTCATTCAGATTTCAGGGGCTTCGAATGGCTGCCCAGATTTGTAAACAGTGACAAAACGGATGCAGCAACCTAACAAAATATGTGTGATCAAATTCCACACAACACATAAATAAATATAACCATTCATGCAGCAGTGATAACTGATAAGGAACATGATCAAATATTCAAATTCACATATTTACATCAACTGTTAATCATGCGGCACAACAGCAGTGAATCAGTGATAAGGAAGGAGTTAAATAAACCTTTTTTTCATTACCATATGAAGAAGAAATAGGAAAAATGAGGTCAACATGATATGCAAATACCTGTTTAATGGCTTGGAACTGGATCAGATTCAGATATGCAATTACCAAGGTAGATGTATCACTAATAAACGTGGGCGAGTATGGCAAGTGGTAACAATACTACAATAGAAGTATAGAACCAACAAGAACATTGTGTGACCAGTTTCAGTCTTTGATGTTCAAATAAGCAAATATTCTAACATTTTGATGCTAGTATGCGAATAATAACTAAATTTCATTAATCATGAAGCAGGTAATATGAACTTTTCACAAATAACTAAAGCCTTTTAAGTACAAAGTCATCTTCCAACAATCAAGAGACTCTTTTATAGTTTTATACCAAGAAATGCCTTTCAAAGTGGCCACTTCTACAATACATCATCTAGCTCTAGATCATCTACATCAACTGTTGGAACTGGAAGAGAATCCTTATGGTCAGTGACAGAACTTGAACTTCCAATTCTCATATTTATCATTTCTACATTTATATAAAAAAATTAAAAGAAGTATATAATATATAAATATACAAATTCAAGTTGAAAAGGAATACTAAAATACATAATTAATGTCGTACCTTTCTCAAACTTTTCAATATCATCTATGTTTTCTTCAACTACAATTGGCTGACTAGGGCCTTTTAGCCAGTCTTGTGTACATATAAAAGCTTCTACCATTTTAGGAAATAGACAACTCCTAAAATTATCTAAGACCCTGCCACTAGTACTAAAAGTCGACTCAGATGCCACAGTTGAAATTGAAACAACAAGTACATAGCCAATTTTGAAAGGATATGAAACCCTTCATTGTTAACCTTCCACCATCTTAAAATATCAAAATCGTTTTTATTATCTATGGTCGACTCACTTAGATAAACTTCAAGTTCACTCTTTTTGTTGAGTGAAGCTCCACTTTCCATCTTTTTTTTAATTGGCTCTTTAATCTAGATTGTACCCTTCCCAACGGGAACATTATCACACTTAACGGGTGGAGGAGACATCATAGTGGTAGAAGATTCGGAATATGTTGAGACATACTCTTCAAACAACATATTCAGTTTAGACTTTACCTTTTCAAAACATGACTTACCTTGATCCTCACCATACATTTGATTAAGCTGGACTTGCATGTACTCAACCTTGTCTCTGTGTCCAATATATTGCCAAAAAATGTAATGAAGTTCATCTTATCCGGATCACCCCAATATTTACTAAACTTCTCTTTTATTTTACCACCCATTTCCTGTTCATAAATCAAAAATAAAAAGTTAGTCAACAACCAAATATAAGTAAATATTAAAAGTTAAATTAAAGGAAGATCAACATACCTCTTCAACTTTCGACTTAGATTGTAACACATCGGCAATAATGCAACTCAAATTTGAAATCTCGGTTAAGAAAGAATTTGAGGTGACATAAAGTGAGTCAGAAATTCTGATTGTCATCTCATAAAATGTCTTAAAAAATATGACCAAGCTGTCAACAGATAACCAATCAAGATATGAAGGCACCGAATCACCCAAATCCAAAGTGAACACGGTGTCACTACTCTCATACGTTTCAAAAACTTGTTTATAAGCTATTGCGGTTCGAAGCATCATATAAGTGGAGTTCCATCTAGTTGGAACCTCAAGACATAAAGAACTTTTCTCTTCCACTTCAAGCAATTCTGCAAGCTCTCTAAACTTCTTCAACCTAGATGGAGAACCCCTCACCTACCTAATGCAATCCCTAATCTTCTTAACTGATGTATCTGCTAATTTCAATCCATCTTGTACAACCAAATTTAGAATATGAGCAATGCATCTCATATGTATGTACTCGGCCCTAGTAGAAGAACCACCCTAATTCTCCACCTTCTTCTTCATGAACCCAATGGCAATATCATTGCTTGATGCATTATCAACTGTGATGGTGAAAATATTTTTTACTCCCCAATCAAGCAAATAACTCTCTATCGCCTTAGATATACTTTCCCCTTTATGTGAATGTATAAGCACAAATGAGATAACCTTTTTATTTAGTTTCCACTCATCATCAATAAGATATGCAGTGACACACATATAATTGATTCTTTGAACAGATGTCCAAGTATCAGTAGTCAAACTAATGCGCTGCGTGTTTGACTTAAACAATTTCTTAAGGTTTGTCTTCTCTTCCAAGTAAATACTAAATATATCCCTATTAACTATCCATCTAGAAGGAATCTTAAATCTAGGGCATGCAGCTTCAACAAACTGTTTAGAATCCCTCCCTTCAACAAACCTAAATGGAAGTTCATCCATTATAATCATTCTAGCTAACATCTTTCGAACAACCTCTTGGTTAAAAACCCAAGATGTCAAAGCACCATCACTATTTTAGATTTTGCATATTGAAATGCAAGAATGAACTGTTTTGTTTCCTTAGCATGTGGATTATTTAAACAAGCGCGCATGTGGCTATTTAAAGACGAAGTACCATGCTTTTTAGCCTCGGCTGCATATACTTTTGAATAGTATAAACACTTACCTTTGATGACTAGCTCATCCTCATTTAAAATCTTCTCAAAATGGTCCCATACTTATGATCTGGATTCTAACATTTTCCTTTTCCTTGTACTTTCCGGAACAGATTGAGTTACGGTAGGATTAGATTGTAAAGGAGGAGGTTGATGACTGTTACTTCCGGACTGAGACATGCTAACTTTTTCCATCTATAATTCTAAACAATATAACAATTAACAAGAAGAATGAGCAGAGTGTTCCATATCATTATATAACTAGTTGTGTACCCGCGCAATGCGGCGGAGCCATGAATTTTAACGATTTTGAAGTTCCATTGGTTTTATAAGATAAGATTTAACGATGATATAWGTTACACTTGGTCTTTACATATTAATACAATTTGAATAAATAAGAGTTATGATTTCAATTACATATTATCAATGAAAAAAATTGTATGACAGTTTAAAATCCAATATATTTAAAATCCAACATATTTAAACGACTCTACAAATATATTTGATTTACACCAAGAGCAAAGAACCAAAAAACTTGAGTTTTAAGATAAACACTCAAAACCAATAAAGAAAACTACAAATTTGACAGATCATAAGCCATGAAAAGACAAAAAAAGATGGGTTTTAGAATGAAATTTCAACTGCTTACCCTTTTTCTTGTCCAGAAACTCAGATTAAGGTTGAACTAATACATGTGTGTGTGTGTGTATATATATATATATATATTACAAAAAAACCCAAAAACATATTAATTCAAAACATATTATACAATACAATTTGGACAACCTAACCCCAAAATATATAATATATATATAAATAAATAACTATAAAAGTATAAATCGTAAATATTAAAAATATTTTTTCACAGTATATATAATATATAATAATATAATTAAGTCATAAACTATTCAATATTAGACTCATTTCCAAAGTATTAATGAGACGATTATAATGGTGTAACTTGTTAAAATAAAAATGTATTTTTTAAACATGTTTTAATTGATATACGATTATGTATGTTAATTTGATAAATGTTTAAAATGAAACGTTTAAAAGTAAATGACGTAAAGTAAATTAATTAATTAATTATAAGAGTATAAAATGTAAATTTAAAATTATAATTTTAAAAAAATTGGTTGTGAGAGGGTGAGTGTATGTGAGAAGAGGTGAGAGTGAAAAAGTGAAAAAGTGAAAAAATGAAAAAGTGAAAAAGTAAGCATAAAGGGTATTTTGGTCATTTAAAATTTTAAGACTTTAAGACTTTTGCTAAATTTGCTTAATAAGATAGTATAGATTAATAATAATACTGTTTTTAAAACATTTTTGGTAAGAATGATAGTTGGTTTGCAACAAAAAGCAAGTCAATTGCTCTATGTTGGAAAGATACTATTTTTTGGTTGTGAATCTTAGTTTAGTTATCTAAGGTTTTTTAGTTGACGAACTTGATTTCTAAACCATGAATTCCAGAATCTAGTTTTAACTCTTTAAGGGAATCTGGTCCATCTCCTACTTACATTTTGCAGTGACATGTAAATGGAGTTATATGATAAGTCTTCGTTTCTAAGATAAAAGAACTTTGAGAAAACTCCATCAATTTAGACAAGTCTAACTATGAATTATAGGTAAAGATTTGGAGTGCAGAAGATTTCCTAAACAAGCATCCAATAATATACTGTATTACTATTACCCCTGGCCTCAAATCTCAATCATAATGTTTTGTTGCTGCTTTTGTCAAGTGATGAAATCATGAAATTATTTACGGTGATGAAATAAAACAATAAGAATGTATCGATTGTTGTTTCCCACATTGAAATAGAACTTGTCAAATAAAGTTTGTATTCGGTTTTTGTAACTTTTTAAGACTTCTTTTTGAAGCATATGATGATAAATTTGGGTAATGGTAAACAGGTATAGCCGTTAAGGGCCATCTATTCTAGAGTAAAAAGCAAACGGTTAACAAGTGATTTTGACCTTATTGAACTAAATAAGTGGTCAAATTTGTTATGTATATGTATTAGCATGGTGGAAAGAGAAGGAAGCACAATTTTTCGATTTTGGCCACTATGACCAGGGACTAATTGTCCAAGCTAGTTTGCACCACTAGTTTGGGAATCTGCATTTCGTTTAGTGGCATGAATCATGATGCACATTGCACAAGGCTAGTTATATCCCAAAACAAGATACACAATCACTTGACTTGAACAGTTGAAGTGTTGAACTTCCCTACTGATGGATGATGATATAGCCGACGAAGAAGGAAACATTATAAAACACTGATACTTGTGTTATTTTGTAAGTCACTAACCAATTTTAGTATCATACTAATACACATAATGACATAAAGAAAACTAGAAAATTAAGATATGAGACTTGAATTCTTAGTTTCTTAGGGCAACTCCAACCTCAACACCAAAAAAAACACCAAATCTGGTGGGCCCATAAACACCAAAAAAAAATTCAACTCCAATCACACTCTAAAAAAAACACCAAATTTGTGGACCCCACATTAAAATAACATATTCTATTTACTATTTTTAATAACAATATTTATAATTTGTAATAATAATAAATAATTAGTAATTAATTTATTTAATGAAGAAATGTTAAAATAAAAACGATCAAATTGTAATTAATAAATTTTATATTTAAAAATATTACATTAGTTCAAATAACACAAATTAAAAAAATACATAAATAATACTAATTCTCCGAGTTAGTATACTCGTCCCACAAATGATCAATTAATGCATTACGAAGTTCAAAGTGARCATCTTTATYMTTGATCTTTTTGTGTCGAGCAAGAAACTGTTCAAGTCCACCATCGTTCATCATCTCAACTCCCACGTCTTGCACTWCACKTCGTTCTTCAATTGGTGCATTAATATCACGTTCATCTTCTATAATCATATTATGCATAATGATGCACGCAGTCATTATAWCATGCAAGATTTCCTTCCTCCATAACCGTGCAGGTCCTGCTATTATTGCAAACCTTGATTGCAATACGCCAAATGCACGTTCTACGTCTTTTCTACATGCTTCTTGTTTCTTTGCAAAATATTGTTTTTTAGGGCCAYGTGGATCGTGAATAGATTGAACAAGAGTGGCCCATTTTGGATATATGCCATCAGCTAAATAATAGCCCATATTATATGATTTTCCTTAGATGACATAATTAGCAGGAGGAGCAGTACCTGCTGCAAGATTTGCAAAAAGATGGGAGGATTCCAACACATTAATGTCATTGTTGGACCCCGGTAAACTAAAATATGCATGCCATATCCAAAGATCATAGTCAGCTACAGCTTCAAGAATAATACTTGGAGATCTACTACGACCGGAATATTGTCCTCCCCAACCGGTTGGACAATTCTTCCATTTCCAATGCATGCAATCTAAACTACCTAACATTCATGGAAAACCTCGTTGTTCCCCAACTTGGAGTAGTCGTGCCACATCATTAGCATTGGGTGTTCGGAGATAGCGTTCTCCAAACACCTCCACGATGGCATGACAAAACCGCTTCAAAGCTTCTACCACCGTCGATTTGCCTATTTTAACGTACTCATCTGTAGCATCTGCAGCCACGCCATATGCCAACATTCGAAATACAGCAGTAACTTTTTGATAACCCGACAACCCAAGTTTGCCGCACCCATCCCTTCGTTGGAGAAAGTAGTTGTCATGACTTTGGACTGCAGCCAAAATACGACCAAATAAAGTACGACTCATTCAGAATCGTCGACGAAACATCGACTCAGGAAATCGAGGATTTTCAGAAAAATAATCATTGAAGAGATTGCGATCGGCATTTTCCCGATCACGATTGATAACTATATGGCCAGGAATAGAACCACGATAAGAAGATAATTGATTGTTGCYMGCATAATTAYGGATATAATYRTCCATTTCAGACGCTAGAWYKAATGCCTSGWSCATTAGTTCGTCMTRTGTATCATCAAAAGCCTCATCGTCTGAATACGAATTATCAGCCATTTGAGTGGTATTTCTCAACAAAGAAGATTGCAAAATATAGTTGAGTTATTTTCATTGAGCTGTTCTTCAACACGTTTTATAGTGAGAATCAGTGGTGTTGTCAATTCTTACCAGACTTTTCAGAAGAATCTTGCCAGACTTTTCAGAAGAATCTTGCCAGACTTTTTCAGAAGAATCTTGCCAGTGTATTGTCTAATCTGTCTTCATTTGTAATGAACTGAAATTTTTGTGTATAAATAGGGGGCGAGTTGGTAAGCTAAACCACACATGTTACCAGCCATAGGTACTAAAAATGTCTTCAACAAGCCGAACTTCATCCTACAAAGATAACGAAGACATACAACTATGTCATTGTTATCTTGATATAACTCAAAATCCAATAATAGGTAGAAACCAATCAAAAGATAAGTTTTGGTCATGAATAGAAACTCTTTATCACCAAACCGAACCGTTCGCAACCAATCCTCGACCAAGAAGATCATTGGAAACGAGAATGTCTTGCATTCTAAAAGCTTGCAAAAAAATGCAAGGGTGTATCAATCAAGTTGAAATGAGGAATCCAAGTGGCGCTTCTGAACAAGATATCGTAAGTATTTATTGTTTTACTTGATCATTGTTTTATTAATTTAAATATAACATGTATTTTTCATAGATGAACGAAGCGAAAGAGCTGTTAAAACTTGATGGATCCTATAAGAGCATCTCCAATCGAACGGCAAAACCTTAGTTTTGCCGTTCTTTTGGTTCCAACCAACCTGCAAAAACACCAAAAAGATACCGTGCGATGAA